TTCTTTTTTATATAAATTGAGAAAAAAGCATGTTCAAGTAACGTAAAACACGTTGAAATAATATTTATCACAATCACATGCTAATTTATTTTTGATAAAATGCATTACTAAAACTTTTCTAAGAAGGGAGAAAAAATTGTTGTAAATTTTTCAGCTTATACCAAATTAAATTAGAACAAATCGATGACCATATATACGTGTATAATGTGAGAAGTGTGCTTGTGCCTATATTTCGATCCACGTATGATAGCATAGTCAAAATTTTCATTAACAAAATTTAAAATATGAAGAAGTTAAAGGAATTTAATATATACTCTATATATACATTAAAGTAATTTTATCGTCGAATATAAAATATAGTTTTTCACGAAATTCTACATTTCATCCACTATTATTTACGCTTTGATTCGATATAGAATTTTTGAAAGTTATGCTTTTTTTCGATTTATTTGATACTATATATAAATTTTAATTAATATTTTTGTATTCAATTTTACCTATTCATTATTTAAACATAGATTTTTAGTTTTATTTGTTATTTTTAACATATCAAGAAGATATAATTAATATTATTTTTTATATTTATTTCCTGCCCCATTAGCATCTATGATTCTAAATAAGGAATTAGTTCGTTAGGTCTTTTCGATCAGGAGTCGACTGGTAATGGATCTACTTATTTTATTTGTAGATCTACGGTGGAGCGAACCCTTGTTCTATTGATTTGCTAGTTGCTATTTTATCATTCATTAATTACTTATTCGCCAAATTATTTTTAAAATCTAATGTAAAAAGTATGATAAAATAGTTATATCATCATTATTTTCTTTATATATAGATATATCGCGATAAATTTTTTTTAAAAAAAGACAGCAGCCATTTCAGTCATTTCGAAGACTACCTTTTTGGGATTTTTTTTGTTTTTCTTCACCATTTGACTTGACTTTTACTTATGCTCTCAATATTCTTTAAATTTTAACCACCCAAATATTATGGATCATACTTTGTTAGCATTTTACACGATTTTCTTTTCATATTTTTATTATTTTTTCTTTATAGAAAAGTTAAAGCATTACTATAATTTATTTTACTTTTTTCGGAAAGAAAAAAATAAATCACTTTCACATTTTGGTTATTTTTTCTATAGAGAAAAGTCGGAATATTTTGTATTTTCATAGAATTATATAATAGCATCCACGGGGTAGACGTTCAAAATTTTATTTATGAGGAGATTATTCTTCCAATAGAGTTTATGATTTTAAATATTATGTAAGTCTCTTGACAAAATCATATTAATAATATATTTTCGTACATATTTTTATTGTCAACAACCATATGCTTTGCAATGGTAAACTTTCCCGTGACGCCCTAATCACTTTCGAATCGAACAACATGTTGGCTACAAAAGTAATCATGACGTCATGTGAAAACTAATATAAATAGCATAAAATATTGGGAGAATAATCTCTCATAAACAAAACTCTTTAATAAACGGTTATTATTGTATTTTTTGGCATGAGAAGATAGGTCTACAATTTATAAAATTTCAAATATTTCCTCTAAGAAAGGAATAAATCAAATATGAAATAAAAAAATACTTTATTTTAAAAAAAATCAAAACATTTATGATAATATTTTATTTTTCTTTCTTAAAAAAATAAACAAGAAAATCAGACAAAACCCTTACAAAAATCCATAGAACCAATATATTATACACATTTACTATTTTTATGAAATTTTAGGAAAAGCGAATCAATACAATTTTGAATAAAATAGAGTGCCATAGATAAAATGTATTTTTTTTAAAAAAAATCATTATTTCAAATAAATATAGAGCACATATTTTCGATGTGAAAGGTAACTTTCCCTTTTATTTTTCTTACCATAAATAAATAAGAAAAAAAAAACTTTCCCACCTAGTTTTTGGTCAAATTAATGTCGGTTTCACACCTAATGAAGTAAGTCCTATGTTGGTGGACTAGCAAACATACTTGGCCCCCATCGACTCATCCATTGGTTAGGGTTTTTTTGGGTTCGTGGATAAGAATAATAATCACGAAATATTTTATGAGATTATTTTTTAAAACTTATATAAATTAGATTTATTACGTAAAGTATTTATTCAAATTGAACTTAACTTAATTTATTTGTTTTGATTGAGCCTACGGCCCAAACTATTTGTTTTACTGTTGTCCTTTTGATCTATTCATTGAATCACTACTTCTTTATCCTTGATACCACATCTGAATAATATTATATCTTCTATTGATATTTATACAATATGATAATATGAAACAATATTCGACCAGTATTTTCATTGAAATATTGTATGTTACGTTCCTCCTTGATGCCCAGGTGTGTGTATACATATATAAAAAAAAGTAATTGAATAATATTTTTATTAAGTTTTCTTAAAATAAAATCATAATCCGTAAATAAATATACAAGATAGAGTTGCTCATACCTTAAATGATCTTGTTTGTTTTGGCCCAAACCACCAATACTTAATAAAGTATGTTGCGTTACAATTTATATGTCTAATTTTGTTGATATAAAGTTTTAAAAAGGTGAAAAGACTATTAAGATAGGTAGAAATATGTATCAAGATCGATTCGAAGCAACTTGTATCATACAACTCGAATTTAGATTACAAATTCAACTATAAAATATTGTGATTTTTCCCTTCTACAAACCGAATCGACAAAAAAACCGAATTATGTTTGCACTGTTAAAAAATACTACTCAATAATCTGCGTATAGATGGCTAGACCAATGTGTCTCTTAACTCTCTTGTTGGATATTGGTGTATGGATTGAATCGAATTTGGATAACAACTTTAGAAAATTGAAATGTAAAATCGTCATATCTGAGATAATTCCTTTCCCCCCAAAAAAATGTAATAACAAATTTTTCGATAGAATCAAAACTGAATTTGGTATATCAATTATCATGCCCACAGTAAAATTCTGAGTAACCAAGTGCAAAGCAGATAACTA